TAAGAAGCAGCTGATACACCCCTATTGAGAGAAAACAACACTGTTGGGTCTCAGTGCTGGAGAGCAGCTGTGGAAGAAAATGGTACAATTTAAAATACAGTATGTTTTGACTTAAAATTTATAGATCATTCTTCATCATCTGTGATACCATCTGGTTCATAGTAAGCATAGTTCCAGAAACCAATTTTGCTACTTTGTAAATAATGTTTGGATTTAATCGTGGTTTTTTTTTTTTTTTGAAACGACATAAAATGAATTAGATATGCCTGGGAAGTTACTTAAAAGAGATGTTATTACTAGATGTTGGGAATCTTTACAGAAGGAACAAACTAATAAAATATGCATCACTGACTCAACAGATCTTGAGAGAGAAGAGTATGGCCATTCTGAATTTGTGATATCTACAGATCTATCTTGCATAATTGCAGAAAATACAACATTTAGCTTGGCTAGTAAAACTATATGTTGGGACATTGGAGGGAAGTCTTTGAAAAGATAAGAAACCAGAGCAGAAATTTTGATGACTTTCCAACTACAAAGAACTAAGTTATTTTGCTAAAATTAATTTATTTATCAGTGACCCAAACACAATTAGCTTATTTGATCTTTAGATGCCACAGAAGACAGTGAGAATCCATATCCCCTTAGTTTTGTTTCCAGAGAGCTTATCAACAAGGTTAAGGGCTCGAAAAAGATATAAAAGATTTAACCAGTGTACAAGTCTTACCAAAACTGAGCTTCTATGGAAATCAGACCAGATTCTATGGAAATCAGACCAGATTCAGTACATAGAACATTTGGAAAAGAAACCTCTCTTTAAAAAAAAAACCCTCTCAAAATGATAGGAATCTTCATAGGTACAGCCCTGCATACCATTTGGAAGCTGTGCAATTGTTTTTCCCTGAAAAGAACAAGAGATGAAGGGTATGGTTTGATTTCCATTCAATGGAAAAGGTTAGAATGACAGATGATGACTTCTGACCATTTTCTATAGCCTGATCTGTGAGCTTATGTCCTGAAATTAAATGTCCAGGTATGTGTATTGCCTCATTTTTCCTCATTTAGACATTAATGTGTCAAATAATCTGCCATTTATAATCAATATTTTTTTAGAAGACTTAACTTTGATATTGTATAATTTGCAGTAAGTTTTTCTTCCTCAAAAGCTGCCAAAGATTTCTTGATCCCACAGAAAAAAAGAAAAGAATAGCAGTACCACTGCTAATAAATTGTCTATCGCTCCTAATATGGAGAATAAATCAAAGATTTAAAATAAGAGCTTTAAAGGGTCTGAATTACAGAATGTAAGTAAACGTTTAAAATTGACATTGAAGGTGAAGTATATTTTCCAGATCACATGGAACTGAAAAAGACAAGTTAGGCTACTTTAGAGAATGTACCTTAGTTCTGGAAGCAATTACTTGAGTTGTTCATCTTATTTGACAAAGAGAAAAGAACAGATAGAAGAGAATATTTGTGGCTCAGGAATGAACTCTGGGGTCACTGATGCTCTCTGAGCTTGGGTGTTTTCTTGCAAATGTTTAATTACCGAATCTAGCACTTGTGATGTTACCTAGCCTGATAATGCAACGTCTGCAAAAAAGCAACCAAGCTCAGAGAGCACCAAGGACCCCAAAGAGGAAAGTATACAATGCTGTGCTGAATATACACTAAGATATACATTCAGCAACATGTAAAATTGCATTATGATTGGTTTGCAATGCAGGTTGAATGTCAGAAGTACATATCAGTGTTAATGAAAAGTAGTTGTGGGGCAATGCTCCTCCTTTGATATATGAATGTGAACCAGGGATGATAACTAAATATTCCTTCCTATTATATTATGAATGATTCTAATGAATATTTAACAAAAGCTTAAAGCAAATGAAGGATATGGACAAATTGTAGCAAATACTAATAAATTACATTTATTACAGTTGATTACTTCACAAGCCTCAGAATTTAGCCTTGACATTCAAAAGACTTATTACTCCTAAATAATGAAATAAATATATATAGGATTAGCCACCATTGCTTTTTACCTCATGGTGCACATTTTATAAAGTACATATCCTAGTTTCATACATTGTATTCTTATAGATTCTAGAAGGGCAGCATCCTCCAAACTCACAAAGGTTTTGAATAAAATGGATAATATAAGTATATGTATGCTATGTGATTTGGTAGCCATTTCTGCCTGTTAAACCTGCTCATATTAACAAATAAAGTGTTGATGGAACTTCAACCATAGAAAAATGCTATTATGGCTGAGGTTCAGTGTTAGGTTTCCTATCATGTCTATTATTGTATCTTTTGCCAAAGAATATGTCATTCTGGTATGAAGTTATGCATTCTCAGAACTGATAACAGTTGAATGTGATAAAGCTTGAAAAATAACCAGTTAAGTGCTAAGACTTCCCTGTTCTTACTCCAGTAGGACAGTCACATTTTTTGAACTTGCCCTTATGTTTAATTAAGATTCAAATAATGCCTGAACTTTAGGTTAATCCCCTTAAGATGGCATTAATTAGTAGGAATTTAATTTGCAATCTAGTTTGCAATAAATATTGTCACTGCAGAACCCAAAGCTTGATGTCCAGTTTTTTTAAAGCAAGTCCATATTTATAATGATCAGTGTTGCGAATTTCTTGTTATTGTTGTTGTTGCCAAAACAGTTATGGAAGTAATATGTTTTACCACAGCTAAGACAGCATGCAATCCAATGGGAAGCAAACAATCTATCTTCCATTATCCAACATTTCTGTTGCTAAGTGAGTCAGTTCTTAAGTGAATTTTGCCCCATTTTACAATCTTTCTTGCCACAGTTGTTAAGTGAATCACTGCAGTTGTTAAATTAGTAACATGGTTGTTAATTGAATCTGACTTCCCCACTGACTTTGCTTGTCAGAAGGTTGCAAAAGGGGATCACATGATCCTAGCTCATGGCAACCAATCACAATATGAACCAGTTACCAAGCATCTGAATTTTAATCACATGACCATGGGGATGCTGCAGTGGTGGTAAGTGAACAAGACAGTCATAAGTCACTTTTTTCAGTGCCACTGTAATTTTGAACAGTCACTAAAGGAACTATTGTAAGTTGAGGACTACCTGTAGTTGAAATACAAAATCTATATTTCCAATGGAATCTTGCTTCAATCATATGTCTATAATTACTCTCCACATGATCAGTTCTCAGAACAGGACTCCTTATCTGATACTGCACAATAACTGGTGAGCATGACATACTGTTATAGGCATTTATGCAGAAAAAATAGTTGTACCTTGATGGAGGTTTGCCTACATTCAAATTTCCTCCATTTGTACTGTATGCTCTCTGAAGCATTTGATACACATATGTGGTTCCATAGAAGAGAATATACTATATATAGCTCAGGGTTGAAGGGTGGAGTCCTTGATGCTCTCTGAGCTTGATTGGTAGAGCCCTGAGCTGTATATATTCTCTTCTTTTGGAACCGCACAATACAGTTCCCCCATAATAAGCAATTTCTTTTTTTAATTTTAACAAGCTTTATAAATGTGTCATTAGTATTTCCTGAGATCACTGGACACAGAATTTGAGCAGTACATCCTTTCTTGTTTGGCTGTAGTCATGATTGAATCATGTATTGTGCAATATTGTTTGTTTATAAGGACCCACATGAATTAATATTGGTTTCAAACAGAATTCAACTTAATTATAACAATCTATAGTATTTACATTAGATGAAATTGCCTACTCACATAATACCAAAATATGAGTATTATTTGAAACTGTATCTAGCAAGTAATTTCCCTTCATAGATATTTAATCCTATCTTCTCCCAACTACATAACATTCTTTAGTTCTTTGTCTAATGGCTAATAACAGTGCCAAAAATTAAGGTAAATAAGGTATTGCTTTCTTTTCGGATGGAAACTAACCAAAGAGAGAAGCAACCTAGAACTAAGGAGAAACTTCCTGACAGAACAATTAACAGTGGAACAACCTGCCTCCAGAAGTGGTGAATACTCCAACACTGGAAGTTTTTAAGAAGAAACTGGACAGCTATTTGTCCGAAATGGTATAGGGTTACCTGCCTGAGCAGGGGGGTGGACTTGATGACCTTCAAGGTCCCTTCCAACTTTATTATTATTATTATTATTATTATTATTATTATTATTATTATCTGTTCTGCAAAATATCCTGTAGTAATTGGGAAGAGAACCAAATATAACTTATACTCTAGTATTTGTAATAAACATATAAATTCCTGCAGATTTATCCAAATTTGTGTCCTGTACACTTAATAGCTGACATTGTACTATGAACACCGAATATTTTCCATTTTTTAAATCTTGAGATTCCTTATGTGGCAAAGTAATCTAATAAGTCTGCTTGCTATCTTGAAGAAGCTATGCTGATTTTGAAGCCTCCAGAGATACTAAAAATGGAATCTGAGAAATCCCTTCCCATCATTTCTAACTCTATAGCCAAATTTTCTACAGTATGCCATTCGATGAGCGTACCAGGAATTGGGGAAAGGGGAATACAGACATTAATACAGATCAATAGTCGAGCTTCCTGTGACGGCGGTGCCGATGGCGGCTGTTTTCAGCCATCCGCCCTGGAATGTGTCAAAGCCAGCTGAGACAGCGAGCAACAGCCATCTCGTGGCTTGGAATCTCTCTCCCTGGGCAAAGGGGAGGAGATTAGTTTCCCTCGGATAGTGGCAGGGCTCCCTGAGAGACCCCAAAGTTTTTTTTTCTTTGGTGGTCGGAGGGTGAGAGCTCCCACGGAGTCTGAGGCATTCTCCACATTCCAGGATGCCTTTGCTCTAATTTTTTTGGGGGGGGCAAAGCTAGACGCTGCTTACACATCTGCTTTCAAAATGAACTTGTGAGTAAAATTTAAAGCAGACAGAGCTGACCAGGGAGATTATATCTGTGATTATTTTGAGACTTTAACTCTGGAAAAGATTTCATCTTCTCTCTTTTCTTATTTGAGAGGGGTGAAAAATGGCACTGAGATGTTGTTTTCAAGAGTGAAAGGACCGGAACTTCAATTTGAAACAATGTAACAGCTTTCTTTTTTCTTCTTTTTTTTTATTTACATAGGGGGCTTTTGTCTTTTTTCTCCTCCTTTTGTCTTCTTTTTTTTCTCTCTCTCTTTGTTAAAGGTTTTATAAGATTTTAAGAGTTTTTTTTTTTTTTAAGATGGCTTCAAATATTTGGGAGCTTTTGTTTCTAAAGCCTCAATCTCCTCTTCGGTAATGCAGACAGCTCAGCAAGTTGAGTCTAAATTTCCACCTCTTTTCTCAGCTTTACCAGCAGTTTTACCTAAAGACTTACAGGACGCTTTGGAAGATAGTGTACGACGAATTGAAAAAGAGATAAGTGAAATTATTGAAAATAAATTTAGGAAATTGAGAGAAGATATAGCGTCTGTGCTTCAGAGGTTTGCTGATCACATAGATCGTTTGGATCAGCGTATTGATGTTGCTGTAGAAAATTCTGAAAAATTGGAAGATAAAATAGAAAATAAGGTGGAAATAATTCAGGATGAAATTACTATGATACAATACAGAAGTATGGAATTTGCTTTAAGAATAAGGGCAATGCAGGAAAATAATCAAGAAAATTTGAGACAAGTGGTTGCAAAGGATATAGCTCTTATTTTGGAATCCGAGCCTGAAGAAATATTGAGAGAGACAGAAAAAGTTTTTAGGGTTAATTCAAGGGTTGCAAGACAGAGGAATCTGCCACGAGATGTGGTTATTTATTTTTTTAGTAGATTACTTCGTAATAAAATTTTACAAGCCTTTTACAAGCAGAGATTCCAAATTGCAGCCCAGGATGTTATACTTTTGAAAGAACTATCTTCAAGAATTCTCAAAGTAAGAAAGCATTTTGCTTTTTTGGCTGATGAGCTTAAGAGGCGACAGATTTGTTTCAGATGGGAGATACCGGCTGGAATAGTGGTGAATTATGCAGGGACACGCTACAGACTTTAAAAGCGAAAGATTTTTATACTTCTGTTTTGAAGGCGGGCTCTTTATTACCTACAGCTGAGATATTAGAAGAAAAGTTGGAAGAGCAATTGATAGAAGATATGCAGGTTAAACCTTTGCAACAATCTCTCTTGACAGAAGATTCATTAATGAAATTGAGTACTTGTGGAGCTTTTAGAAGTAAGACAAAGGTGGAAGAAAAGCCGGAAGAGTAGCTGATTGAAGAAAATATGCAGGTTGTACCTTTGCAGCTGTCCTCTTCAACAGAAGATTTATCAAAGAAATTGGGCATGACTCATGCAGTTTTTAGAAGTAAAATAATGGAACAGCAGAAGGTTCTTCGTCATTTTCTAAGCAATAGATAATAGAAGGAGAAGTTGGAATATCAGCCGGCTAGTTATAAGGAGTTTTGTTAAATCTTTGTTATTTAGGGGAAAGTTTAAATTTATGATCCTTGCCTGGGAGAAGATTTAATAGGCTTTAATCTAGGGATTTAATATCTGAGAGTATTTACTATAACTTTTAATAAATGTATAAAGTTAAATTTTTGTTTTTTAGGGGAAAGTTTAAAAGCTTAAAATTATGATTTTTGCTCGAGAGAATAGTTGATAGGTTTTAATTTGGTGATTTAATATTTGAGAGTACTTATGATATATTATGATATATTAAAAGTGGATAAGAATGTTGTAAGGTTTTGATTTGGGAGAAAAGGTTATCACAAAATTTATTTGGGTTTGGGGGGAAAGAGTTAAGAGCTAAGTTTATATTGTTCAAAAGAAATACACATCTCGGTGTGGAGAAGGTGGATAAATTATATGAAGAATAAATGTGGGATTTAATGGGTAAATTACGATTAGAGTAGATATGATTAAAAGTATTGTTTGGATTATGAATAATTTTCGTTTTACTTATTGTGATTTAGTTTGTATTAGTTAAAGTTAAAATAAATATGGGATTTAATGGGTAAACTTTGATTAGAGTAGAGATGATTAAAAGTATTGTTTTGATTATGAACAATTTTTGTTTTAAATTTGGCATTATTTGATTTCGATAATTGATTTTCTTTAACTTGTTTAAATTTGTTTTGTATTTGAGTTAATAACTTATTGATTTTGTTATTTGTATAGTTGGATAGGTTTAGTTAGATTTAGTTTGCATTAGTTAAAGTTAAGTAGATTTTGTTTAATATGCTTGAAAAAAAATGGGTAAACTCTGATATGATTAAAAGTATTGTCTTGATTATGAACAATTTTTGTTTTAAATTTGGCATTATTTGATTTTGATAGTTGATTTTTTTTAATTTGTTTAAATTTGTTTTGTATTTGAGTTAAAGTAACCTATTGATTTTGTTATTTGTATAGTTGGATAGGTTTAGTTAGATTTAGTTTGCATTAGTTAAAGTTAAGTAGATTTTGTTTAATATGTTTGAAAACCCTGTGCCAAGCTCTGGGAAGTGGGGGGGAGGGGAGGTTGGGGTGCGGGGGGGTTTGGGACTGGGAGGGAGGGGGGTCGGGGTGGGGGGGGGTAGGTAGGTTAGATGATAGGATTAAAGTAAGATAATAAGGGATAACTTATGAGAGAGATGTTGCTTGGGCATTTCCCCGGTACTGTATCTGAAGAGGGATGAGAGAGGAGGAGAAAGGTTAGGGAGGAAGTAGGATGGTGAGAGGAGAGGGGGAAGGGAGAGAGAGGCGAGGGGAGGGAGAAGGAGGAGGGAAGTAAGGGAGAGTATAAGAGAGGGCGGATGCAGTTTCGGGGGGGGTGGGCAAGCGACATCTAGGTGTATTCATTCTATCTTGTCAAATGTGAAATTTCTTCTTTTTTGTTCATGTAATTGATAATTGAAAAATAAAAACTTTTTGGGAAAAAAAATACAGATCAATAGTCTAAAAATAAACTTTAATTTGAACAATCTATATAGTGCTTCTGTATGATTGAAATAGGAGATCTGGAGTTTTCTTGATATCCAAATGGCCAGACCATAGCTAGGCCTTCTTAATTAGTGTGAATACAGAATCATTCAGACACAGAGATGCTTTCATATTTGCAATCAAAAGTCTTTGGAATATCTGAATGGACTGATAAAGCCTGAATTACAGATAAAGGCTATCTCACTTTACTTAAACAAAACTAAGTTACTAATCGTACTCAAGATGTGAATAAACAATAGCTAGGATAGCTAAACATAATCCCCTCCAAACCCTGAATTATTCATTTTTTTAATATCTCACTTCTAATCAGTATAATGACGGATAGAGAAAATGTGCTTGATATTCCAAATCACTGACCATTTTGACAGCTGGATTTTACTTTATTTATACAATAACTCTGAAAAATAATTGTCTTGAGTCAGGCTGAGGAATGTTCAAGTTAAAGCAAGAGCAAAGAGATCTGTGGAAAACTGTCTACAGTGTAAAATCACAGATGTTGGTAATTCTTGTTATAAAATCCCCAGAGTGATTTTGATAGAGTATTGATTATATTCTAGCATGACAGTGGATTAGATTCTCTGGATTTGAAACTCATTGAGCTTCATGTTGGAAAGGAGAACAAATGAATTTCATATTGACTGAATCATCAATGTCAGATAATAATGATAATGATTATACAAATTTATATAGCCATCTATCTAACAGGTAAACAAAACAAAAACACATTAATAAAAATAATAAGCAATCATATAAAACAAATTGTGTTCAGGCCTCAATAAAAATTGACATTTATGCATCAACCATCCTGTGCCTACTCTATCAATATCTTGGCCCCAGTGCCTGGGGGAAAACTGTAATCCGGAAGGGTCTGGGTCTTTTGTATTTCTGGTGGGAGGCTATTCCATAAAGCAGTCATAATACTTTCAAGGCTCCACCAGGTGACACTGGTTTCACCAACAGCTTCACTCTGTCTAATCTAGTAGAATGGGCAGAAATCATGTGGATAGGTGGTCCCTCAAGTAACCTGCCCCAGGTCATATAGCGATCTAAAGGTGACAACAAGCAATTTGAATTGTACCCAGAAGCCTACGGGCAGCCAATGCTACCCACGTAATAGTGGTGTTACATAGGTATAGCATAGTGCACCTATTACTGCCGGTGCCACTGTTACAATTTCCAAATGCTCTTCAAGGGCAGCCTATGTAGAGTGTATTCCAGTTATCCAATTGGGAGATGGCTAAGGCATGAGTGGTGTGAACAGAGACCCCGATCTAGAAAAAGATACAATTGGCACACAAGATATATTCATGCAAATTTTTGAGCAAGAGCGCAGAATCAAGGACAACCTCCAGACCATTCACCAGCTCTGGCTGGGGGTGGGGTGTCATCCTAGCCAGAGTTAAAGATGTCAAATCACGGGGCACAGTGCTCGGGTCTTGAATCCAGGCTGTCAGCTTTCAAGCTGACAAGCTCAGCATCTTTAACTGCTGAGCCATCATGCCCCCTTGGATAAGTGTGTGTGTGTGTGTGTGTGTGTGTGTGTGTGTGTGTAGGAATATACAAATTGCCTCATATGGCTCACTCTGACTGGCAGCACTTCCAGAGTCTGCAAATATCACATATCCAGTCTGTTAACTCTCTCACCTACTTTTTGCAGTAACAATTTCCTCTGCCAAGACATTTTAAAGACAATATTTGTGTCATATAATTAACAAGACATCCTCTGTTCCAAGTGAAATGTTTCAAATTACTCCACAAACATAGCTGGAAACTAAGTTAAATGAGGCACAGAACAGTGCTTTTCACATTATTTCAAGAACATTTTAGCAGCAAGGCAAAGCATAAAACTGTTTCACCAATAAGGCGTAGCAAGAGACATGTAAAGTAATCTGTCTTTGTATCTGTTTTCTTTAGACCTTCAGGAGGATCAAAGACACAACTGTACGTGCAAGTTTATCTTTTTCCATGATACTGATGTAAAAAGGACTACTAACTCCTGCTGTTCCTCAGGAGTATAATCATGTACTCAGGTTTGTGCAAGCAACTTCTTAACTCACTGAAAGTCTTTCCTAGCAGTACAGGGGAAATATTGCTTTCATTCAGTAATTTCTGCTATGGCGTCTAAATATAGCAATATAGGGGATCAAAGAAATAAACACAATGGGAAAAGAAACAGAGTCAGAAATGAAAAAAAACTGAAAACACAATTCAAAAAGGCAAAAGTGAGGTTGTATTGGTAAATGGTTAGAACCAACTATGGTAAAGTGTAGACATGGGACACAGGAAGACATTTGGAGACTTCCAACATATATGTGAATGTCTTCAAAAATTATGCTGAGTTCAAACCCTCCCAGAAGTCAGAAAATAGAAGCCTGTATACAAGAATTAACTCAAGGTAAGCTTGCATAATACCCTTCCTTATAGCTGTGTTATGGATGGATCAATATCAACTGGATGATGGGAATTATATTCCAACACATTTGAAATGGCATTAGGTTGGACAAAACCATTCTGTAAAAAATCTTGGACCAATTGAATATAAACTGAAGATATCTTGATTATTCGGGTGTTTTATATCTGCATGTCTAATTCTGCGTATATTTATACATCTATATATATACAATATGTATTTAGAAACTCAAGTATATATCTTTACATTCAGTTGCATTAAAAGCTTGATTGCTACTCTGAGAGAGAAGAATTCTATAATAAAACAGTAAAATGTCCAGAATATGAGGAATTTTGAAGTCGGTTAAAGATCTTGTGGGGGTAAAATTGTAGGCAATTACATTTGATCACTGTGTCAGACACTGGTGCTGAATTTATTCTAATTTGCTACAGAAAATATTCTCAAGTATTTTAAAACACCAAGGCTCCTGATTAAAGCAAATTGTGTCTACAATATGCATAGATCAGAAAAGAAATCTAGTCCAATGAGACTTGTGCAATGTCAAACGCCAGAGCAGCAAAAAAAAATTAAAGAAATTCTTTGAAATTATTGCTTCTTCTGAGTTCAAAGTTTTCCAGCAGCCAATAGAAATAACGACAAGGACATAAAAATAAGAGAACAAAAATGAAAAACCAGAGATGTATCTGAAATTAATTACAAATAATAATTAAACTATTTTTAAGAAATCCACAAAAATATTTACATATAGTGCTGATGAATTTAAACTATTTTGCAGGAAGTGATACAAACCAAGGTTACGTATTTCTTTTTTTAATAAAATCTCAAAGAAATATAAGTATCTATGGAGATTCTCAGTCATTCAGGTCATGGTTATCCCAAAGGTGCTTTTTCAGGAGGGGACTGAACTTTCTTGTTTTTCTTTGAAGACATTACGCTTCTCATCCAAGAAGTTTCTTTAGTTCTGACTGGATGGTGGGGAATGGAAGGATTTATATTCCTTGAAGACAGCTAGTAATTTGCATTCTTTTAAAGAGTTGTTGAGGCCACCAGGAGGTTTATCTGTGTCCTCAGGGTCATTGAATAAGTAGTGTTAGACAGAAAAACATTACTTACCAGAGAATGAGAGATGAACAAGAGATAACCAGTAAGTTTATTTATTTATTTATTTTCAAATATTTATATGCCGCCCAATCCCAAATGACTCAGGGTGGCGTACAAAGTTAAAACAATGATAAAACAATAAAATAAAACAGTCATACCGCGAGTCCGATCATATCCCGGCCCCCCGGGGACATCAGCCCCAGGCCTGCCGGAACAGGCCTTCTTAAAGGCCGGCAGGGTGGGAGTAGTTTGAACCTCAGGGGGAAGTTGATTCCACCAGGTCGGAGCCACCACAGAAAAGGCCCTTCCCCGAGGGCCCACCAGCCGACATTGTCTGGCCGACAGGACCTGAAGGAGGCCCAATCTATGGGACCTCACCGGTCTCTGGGAGCTGTGCGGCAGAATGCGATCCTGTAAGTAACCTGGCCCTATGCCATGAAGGGCTTTAAAGGTGATAACCAACACCTTGAATTGCGTCCGGAGACCCACAGGAAGCCAGTGCAGCTTGCGTAGGATAGGTGACACGTGGGTGTACCTTGGCGTGCCCACAATCACTCTCGCGGCTGCGTTCTGAACCAACTGCAGCCTCCGAACGCTCTTCAAGGGTAGCCCCATGTAGAGCGCGTTACAGTGATCCAGTCTTGAGGTGACAAGGGCATGAGTGACTGTGAGTAAAGCCTCCCGGTCCAAATAAGGCCGCAACTGGTGCACTAGGCGAACCTGTGCACCAGTTGCGGCCTTATTTGGACATCATAATTGTATTTACGACTTTATATGCAGCAATATGTTGTAATGTTTCAAGAATACATATTTCATTTTTATGACTCCTATCTACTCTCATTGGTTCTGCCAATCTTACTATCTCCTCAGCAAAAACTGACTGCCAAAAGACTAAATAATGTTCTAGATAGAATCAACTGCAACAGGAAACAAATAATTTGTCTGTCTATATTGTCTCATCACAAGATTCTTCTGATAGCTTCTTTTTGCATGGTCTCTACTACTAACTCTACATAATGGGCAAGCATTTCAAATCAGGAAGGTGGTCAGGTTTTATTAATCCTGCACCAAGCAGCACCAATTCCAACCTCTTAAAAGTTAAATCTTGTTCCTGCCTGAAAAAGCATGTCTTATTTTTCTGTAGGGGATTTTGATATACTGTATTTTCACTAGTTGTACTTAATTCAGAGGCAGCATGAATAGATCTTTCCATACAATAAAGCCTTAAGGACTCTGGTCATATTTCCACTTGAAATAGCAACAATTTACCAAATTCTAAGAGTACTAGCTATTAATTCCATCATACACCAAGAGACAGCAATGTACAACATTCAAATGTGCAACTTCTGTCATCTATCACATAGTTACATTTGTTAAGGTTAGTGAGAATTCAAGAAGTTCCAGAGGGGGCCATGCTTGCCCATTAAAACTACTTTGGATGAAACATACACCCCCAAAAAACAAACCCCAAGTCCCAAGTATTAACAAATTGTTGAGGGATTTGCAATGGTTAAGTCAGGGGTTCTCAACCTTGGCAACTTTAAGACTTGTGGACTTCAACTTCCAGAATTCCTCAGCCAGCTTTGCTGGCTGAGGAATTCTGGGAGTTGAAGTCCACAAGTCTTAAAGTTGCCAAGGTTGAGAACCCCTGGGTTAAGTGATTCTATAAACTACCCATATATTATTTATGTAGCACTTCCCCTGAAAGGGCCACTGACAGTCAGGCCTTTCTATCCCTTTCCCAGGTGACCAGCCTGACCTGGCCCAGATACACCAACACACCTTGGCGGGAGTTAAGGAACTTTAATTAAAAGTAATGGCCATCAAGCTAGAATCATGTTAAACAACACAATAAAACATTAAAACTTATGGTGAGCAATGTTGCTCAAGCTAAAAATGTCCCAGACTGTTCTTTTAGGCCAAATGGCCCTCATCAAACCTGTTGCCTCATAAACACCTACCCTGCAGGCCCAATAAGAGGCTTATGGAGTCTTCCTCTGGTGGCAGCCAGGATTCAATCTCTAGACCAAGATATGGCCATTCTCTCTCTCTTTCTGAAGAAGTGTAGCCTCTTTTCCTCGTTCTTTTCACTCCCTCGCAGTCTTCTTTTCCTCAGCTACTCAAATCTGTTCTCCCAACACTCTGATTTTACTCCCCCTGCTGGAAACTACATTTCCCAGAAATCTCCTCCAGGGCTCTTTTTTGTCCTAATTTCAGGGCCGAGGCCCCAACCAGCCAGCCAAGCAGGAAATGCTGCTAATGGAGCAGGTTACATTTAAAATTTTTTCATTATTTTGCTATCACAATTAGAAAGCATCAGGATATTTTTCTCAATATAACAAATTTCAGCATTAATTTAAAGGAGGCCTTGGAAAACAAATAGTTTATATTCCAAAATGGACATAAAATCAACCCTGTCATATGAGAGTTAAAATCTCTTTTAAAAAGTAAGTAGAGGAGACATATCATCCATATATGTTTATATACAAACTTTTCAGAAGTATGATCACACTTGAAAGACATAATTAACTGTGCTTCATGGTGTTTGCTTTTATGAAAATGAAGAAATTCCTATTCACCTACCAGAAAGGAAATAAACAATTTTTGCAAGGACCTACAGGCAATTCAGTAAAATGTCATAATCAACCATACATAAAGGTACTAAATTATCAAATAAAATCAGCATAAAGAGTTGACCTCTGCCCATTGTCATAAAAATAGCATTAAACAAAGTAAGAAATAATTCAATATTCATAATATGATTACAGTTAAATGAATCTATGTCACTACAACACAGCCATATAATCCAAACAAGAATATAAAGTGCCATATCCAGGAAACACATTTTTCAAATGTGATTGTACAAATGCACTGCATTACAAGCCTACCTGTTTATGATGTCATGAAGCAAATAGATTAACATTACAGATACTCATCTGTTTGAATCCAAAGCATAAAATTATGTTTTGTAGTGTAATTATATTTTGGAAAATAGTGCACCTGTTAGCACCTATTTTAAAAAGTGCATGGTAGCCCCAGAAACTATATATTTAGGATAAGAAGGTGATGGTGACGATTGAGTACAATGCTTTAGAACATCCTGTTGAATCTTCTTTAACTCAAATGTTTTCCTAGGAGACAGAGCTTTCATGCAAGACCAGGAAAATAAATGACTTCCTTAAGCAGGCACAAATAGTGGGCTACTGTACACTCCTCCAAAGTATCTTTTCTTCTTTGGAACCAAGTAAACAGAGTATAAACTTGTGTTTTCACAAAGGAATATATATATATATTCCTGATTATCTTAAAAACTCAAATCCCAGGTATATTCATATTAAAACTACAATAAAATCACTGAACTCCGGGATAAATAAAAACAAACTGTTTAATAGCTTTCGTCAGTCCTCTGCTGACATCGTCAGAGTAAAAGCCGATGGTCGGTGCAGGATCAGGGGAGAGACGATGGGCCGGTGTGATCACGACAAGACGCAGGATGGAGGAAACTCTTCTAGACGGAAC